CAGGCTGGAGTGCAATGGCACAATCTCGGCTCACTGCAGCCTCCACCTCCCAGGTTCAAGTGATTCTCCTGCCTCAGCCTCCTGAGTAGCTGGGACTACAGGCGCGCGCCACCATGCCCAGCTAATTTTTTTTGTATTTTACTAGAGACGGGGTTTCACCATTTGCTCAGGCTGGTCTCGAACTCCTGAGCTCAAGAGATTCACCCACCTCGACCTCCCAAAGTGCTGGGATTACAGGCATGAGCCACGTGCCCAGCCAGCCTGCCTCCTTTCTAATACCAGGTCAAGACAGCAATTCAATTCCTCCAGCAAGCCTTTCTGGTGGCCCTCCAAATCCCTTTTTTACTGTGTCCATCACAGCAGTGACTATGAACTCAAAAGCCCCATCAGGGGCCAGGCAATACCACGAATGAGTCAAGTGGGCTGTTTGATTCAGACATAGATAAGCTTCACAAATAAAATGTTAAGAAATACTCTCTTCAAATATACACTTTCCCAGTTTTCCTAAAAAGAAAAAATAGCCTTCTCAGGCTAGGCGTGGTGGCCCACACCTATAATCCCAGTACTTTGGGAGGCCGAGGCAGGCAGATCACCTGAGGTCGGGAGTTCGAGACCAGCCTGACCAACATGGAGAAACCCCGTCTCTACTAAAAATACAAAATTAGTTGGGCATGGTGGCGCATGCCTGTAATCCCAGCTACTCAAGAGGTTGAGGCAGGAGAATCGCTTGAACATAGGAGGTGGAGGTTGTGGTGAACCGAGATTGCACCATTGCACTCCAGCCTGGGCAACAAGAACGAAACTCCATCTAAAAAAAAAAAAAAAGCCTCTCCAGTCTTTTTCTTTTTTCTTTTCCACTTTCTACCTCCACTTTTGATAGAGAAATAGCTTCAAGAAACATCTTGGCTGGGTATGGTGGCTCACATCTGTAATCTCAGCACTTTGGGAGGCCAAAGTGGGAGGATCACTGGAGCCCGGAAGTTCAAGACCAGCCCTGGCAACATAGCAACACCCCATCTGGACAAAAAAACTATAAAAATTACCAGGGCCTGGTGGTGCATGTCTGTAGTCCCAGTTACTTGGGAGACTGAGGCAGGAGGATCACCTGAGCCCAAAAGTTCAAGGCTGCAATGAGTTGAGATTGTACCACTGCACTCCAGCTTGGGCAATAGAGTGAGACCCCATTTCAAACAAACAAAAACCAAGAAATAGGCCAGGTGTGGTGGTTCACATCTGTAATCCCAGCACTTTGGGAGGCCGAGGCGGGTGGATCACGAGGTCAGGAGATTTGAGACTAGCCTGGCCAACATGGTGAAACCCCATCTCTACTAAAAGTAGAAAAATTAGCCAGGCGTGGTGGTGGACACCTGTAATCCCAGCTACTCGGGAGGCTGAGGCAGGAGAATTGCTTGAAGCTGGGAGGCGGAGGTTGCAGTGAGCCGAGATCGCACCACTGCACTCCAGCCTGGGTGACAAAGCAAGACTCTGTCTGGGGGAAAAAAAAAAAAAAAAACAAGAAATATCTTAATTTTCTTTTTAAAATCTACGATAAGAAAAACAAGAGTGGCCATGAGGTAATACAGGGCAAGCGCCCTTTGGCCTTGGTTTGGAGAGACAATAGGAAGAGTCTCTTCTGCTTCGGCTGGTAACTGCCCCAGGGAAAAGCAGGCCCGACATTGTCAAAGCTGATTTTTCAAAAGAAGCTAGAAATCAATCCTGTTTTAAGCTCAAGTTTTAAAATTTGACATCACATTCAAATTTAAAAAATGATACTGCGGGGTTCTATACGGCCAGACCCTCACACCACGGGCTGGTTGGAGTCTGCCTGCAGCGTCTGTCTGCAACTCTGCCAGTGAGTCCTTGGTGCTGGTGTCTGTCTTCCCCGCTGACCTATGGCTTCTTGGGGTGCAGGAGGCGGAGTGCAGCTGTGACTGGGACCCTGGCACCAGCCCAGAGCCTCCTTGCACAGGCGTGCGGATCAGCTGTGCAGCAGGGGACGGCCTTTCTCCTAGAACCACACTGGCTGCTCCCAGGACACACACGCGCTGAGTCCTGGGGTGGCCCTGGCTGCAGGCTGGTCACATCTGCCACTCCACATTCCATGCTCGCCAGCTCTTCGTGGGTGTGCAAGGCGCTCCAGACCTGGCCTGCCCTCCATTGACCCGCTCAGCCACTGCCTCTCCCTCCAGGTGCCCAAAGTGACCCTTGGGTCCACACGCCCACTATGTACTGCCCCACACGGGCTCCCCCCAACCTTCAGACTATACCTCCACGTTAGACCATCCGGACTGCTGCTCCTTTTCTTAGATGCAATCACGCTATTTGTAATCCTGCAAGAGAATGTCTTTTTTTCTTTTTTTTTTTCCAGCAGGGTCTCACCCTGTTACCCAGGCTGGAGTGGTACAATCATGACTCACTGCAGCCTCAACCTCTCAGGCTCAGTCGATCCTCCTGGGACGACAGGCGCGTGCCACCATGCCGGGCTCATTTTTATATTTTTTGTGGAGATGGGGTTTTGTCTTCTTGCCTAGGGTGGTCTCGAACTCCTGGGCTCAAAAGATCCTCCTGCCTCGGCCTCCCAAAGTGCTGAGATTGTAAGTATAAGCACATACTGTGCCCAGCCCAGAATGTCTTTATTTTTGAAAGACACGTGCTGACAACATGTTTAGGGATGAAATGTTCTGAGATCTGTGACTTACTTTCAAATGGTCCCAGAAA